TCATAAGCAAACATAAAACACAGAAAAGTACATGACTATTCAATCATTGAACTATAAGTGACTAGTAAAACATTTATAATAACACGAAACTATCATACTTATCATAAAATTATATCCTACTATAAATAATAACTAACTACACAGAACAAATACTATAAACTAATGGAAAGAAATATACATTTATATATTTATATGATTAAAAAAAAAAAACAGTCGCTATTAATGTTTATGAAACTTAAGGTAATAATCCAAGCGAAATCATAATATTTCAGATATATTTTTAATTCATTATTAGACTAATTGGACATTTGTAACATTAATTCATAAACCAATTAATTAATTTATCTATTTAATCAATTTATTAAAAAAATATTTATTTATTTATTAATTCATCAATTTATCAATCTATTAATTTATTAATAAATTTATTTATTGATTTCTTTATTTAATCAATTAAATAAGTGTATTAATTTATTAGTTTATTAATATATTGATTTATCAATATGTTAATTTAATTATTTATTTTTCTATTTATTTATATATTTATAATTAATTGAATGAATGAATGAATGAATGAATTAATTTATTTATTTAGAATTAATTAATTAACTAATAAATAAATTAATAATTAATTAATTGAGTAAATAAATAACTAATTGGACCGGACCTATTTCATTTCAAAAAGGTCGGAACCGAATACTAACATGTAGAAACACTTTTACTGTTAAACTTTCGATCCAATTATTAAAACAAAAAAAAAAAAGATATAGATGAATTCTCCCATAATGTTATTCTCCCATCACGCTCTAATGGGGTATTTCTCCAAGTTAGCCATCATGGGAGATTTCTCCCATTTTAATTTTGGGAGGTTTCCGCACCATTTTAATTTTGGGAGATTTCTCCCATTTACTAAATGGGTTAGTTCAGCCAATGGGAGAATTGCAAAAATTCTTTAAATATATTCCTTGAATACTTATAAGTTTATTATAAGTATTATATATTCAACATATGTAAAAATATTTAGAAAAAAAAAATTTTTTCTCTCCACGGTTTTATTCTCCCACTTTAAAGAAATGGGGGTTTCAACCCCACTAAAGTCCCAGTGGGATACGTAAAAACCCGTGGGAGAATTGAAAAAACCCCATGGGAGGTCACACTTTGAACGCTCACACAGCGTTTAATTATTGCGCTATCTTTGTGTAATCGGTCAATAATCGTCTATTTTTTATCAAATTACTGTTTGATTTAACTTTTTGTATTGAAACTTTGTTAAAAAGGGTAGTTGAGTTTGCGAAAATTCCGGATTTGCAAACTTATTCCGGAGGCTGTTATTTGTTTCTTCTAGTTCTTATATTTTTATCAGTATTTAATGTTATGAAACATTCCTAAACAGTTGCAAATTGAGAAAATAAGAACCCCTAAAGAAAGTCAAAAACAGCAAAATTGAAAATGTTGCAGGCTCGGTTTGTCTTAATGTGCCTGTTCATGGAGGTACTGGAAAGTGCAAGATAACGTCCATGCCCGGCTTAAGCAGAATTCAGCATTTAAACATAAGCATACTTCTTCTCTTTCATGCTTCATAAGAACAAGATGAGTGTAGGACAAAAGCCCCCCCCCCCCGTCTAAAAAGTGACAAGGTGGACAAAAGCCCCCCCCCATGAAATTTTCACATAGGACAAAAGCCGCCCCCCCCATCAAAAATACAGGTAGGACAAAAGCCCCCCCCCCATCTTTTTTCACTGCACAGGTGCTCAAATTCATCAAATTTCACACAAACTTTAAAATAAAAATGAAAATAATTTGTTTTAATGTTTATTTATAATGTATATATTGAAGTGATAACAAAGTTTATGATAAAAAGATTAGATAATGTATGCATGCGATGACCGAATTCATAGCTTTTCATATACACAACAAGTGTCAGAAGAGTAGTAATGTTTAATCACTTTTGTAAAGGGATCAAATTAATATCCTAAGCACTATGTCACCTACATGTGATGTCCAAACATATCTTTTAAACACATAAAAAACAACTTTAATACACTATATGTAAATTTTGCATATTGACTATGGGGGGGGGCTTTTGTCCTACCTTTACTTTTTTATGGGGGGGGCTTTTGTCCTATGTGAAAATTCATAGGGGGGCTGTTGTCCACCTTGTCATTTTTAGATGGGGGGCTTTCGTCCGGGGGGAGGGGGGGGGCTTTTGTCTGTATCCCGAACAAGATAAGTTTAGTATTATTGTAAAAAGAATCATTGGTTATTTCTGTAACATCCGTCACCTTTGTACCCTTATTTTGAAAACACAGAATAACAAAAGATTATATTTGTTCAAAATTCCTATAAGCATAAATATTATCCTAATAAACTTACTTAAAGGTCCTCTTGATGTTAAAAAATAACATATTAATTTTATTTCAAAATAAATAATTTTGTTTTCATATTTGAAAAATACAGTTTTTTTTCAAAATTAAGGAATTGCTGTTCATAAGTTATAATTTTTTATATAAATACATGATTTTAATCCTTTATTAGTCCCCTACCAGTTTTACCAGAGGGGACTTTAGGTTTATCCTCCGTCCGTCTGTCCGTCTGTCTGTCTGTCCGTCTGTCTGTCTGTCAGTCCGTCCGTCCACAAAACTGGATCCCGCGATAACGCAAAAAGTACTGAAAATATTTTTATGAAACTTGATATATGGATAGATGGCAGTATGGAGATTATGCACGTCTTTTTTTTTCTTCCTATGTTGAAAATTCTGGTTGCTATGGCAACAAATAGTCTGAAAATATGGCAAATTTAACACATAAACTGATCCAGTGATAACTCAAAAAGTACTGAAAATATTTTTATGAAAACTTGAAATATGGGTAGATGGCAGTCTGGAGATTATGCACATCTTTTTCTTTTCTTCCTATGTTGAAAATTCTGGTTGCTATGGCAACAAATAGCCTGAATTTCAAGATTTCTGATTTAAATTTTCAGCTTTTTCACTATATGTTCTTTTATTTTCTTAAGGTGTTTACTTCAAACTTTAAATATAAGTTTCTGGTCATCAACCACATCATATGTACAAGGTTTATAACTCTAGCACAAAAAAAATATCAGTATTACCTCCCTTGAACTTAGATTTTTTAGGGGAAAAAATGTTGTCTTTTTTAAATAACTTCTTTATTTCCTAATGTATCTACTTCAAACTTCATATATATGTTTCTTATTATCACTCGACATTTTTGAGAAGGTTGAATACTCTAGCCAAGACTATTTCCAGAATTATGTCCCCCTTGAACTTAGATTTTTTTTCGAGAAACTGGTATTTTCACTCCAACTTCTTCATTCCTTATAGGATTTACTTTAAAAATCCCACATTGTAATAATATGACAAGGTTGTATAAACATAATTTCCTTACTAAGCATGGAAACTTAACACATTACTGTGATATAGACAAACTTATTTTATTATGTTTTGTGGTCGATATTTTCAAATACAGACTTCATCCTCAAATTCATTATAAATGGCAATACACAGGAGTGTATAACAATTAAAGAACTTTTTGAGGGACCGGTAGGGGACTACTGTATTGCCCGCAATACTATCAAATGCTTGTGTTAATAATCAAAGTTCATTGTTGTTCTGTTCTCATGCTTTATGTTAAGTCTTATCACTACCTCTTAAATATTTTAAGATTTAGGTCAGTGGTTATACTCATGTGCCAGCTTGTTTCTCTTATTTCTTCATTTTTCATTGTAACTTTGGTATCTTCAGGGCTTTTTTTCCTTCTATAACAGGGGCTATTATATTAAGGCCCCTTCACAATTCAAAATTGCACCTTCCGGTAAAATTAAATTGATTTATGCCAATTGCAATAACACAGAAATAGTTTTAATCAAGTTTAATGATTTTTGCGCATGTTCACCGGGTTAAAGTACCGACTTGAAGCAGATTTTACACAGGTCAGAAATTATAATCAACTGTTTCCAGTTTCAAAATGTTGCCAAATGCCAGGAAATATGTCATTTTTTTTCACAATTTAATGACATATCTCGCTTTTTTTCACAAAATGAACAGGCCCAGGCCCCTCCACAATTTTGACAAAAAATGCTCTGGTCTTAGCTTTAAATTCTCTTTCCAGTTACAGTTTATGTGAGATTTAGTGAGCATCTTAAATAGTTTGATGGAATAATTGTTACAGGGACTTGTGTTTCCTACAACTTTTACATTATTGTATTTTTTCCTCATAAACATATTAATTTTTAATAGCAATTATTGTAACATTTTCATAGTAAGACTATCAACAAGCACCAGAAACATTATATTTTGGATAATGCTATCATAAAAAAAACTTTTGGGCAAATTTGCTTTATTTTAAGTTCTTGTAAATACACAAAAATGTAATTGCAAATTCAATATATTTTTTGAATAGAAAAAAGCCTGCATTACATGTACTTTTGAAAAATAAGAAAGTACTGTGCAGCAGGCACATAACTTTTTTATTAATTCATGGATTTGATTTATACTCGGGCAGAAGAACTCTCATAACAAAACCGACATGTTGACTATTTAAGATTTAACCTTGATCTTTATATGACCATGAATGTCAAGGTTAAAATATTGACCTTATCTTAGATTGTCATCACTCTTATTTATTCAAGGATTTGATTTATACCGGGAAAAAAAATCTTATGACAAAACACATATTTTCCATGATTTTTATTTGACCTTGACCATCATAATTTGTCCTTGACTGTCAAGGTTAAGTTATTGAAATTTGCTTTAATTTTCATATTTTTTTTTGTACAGATTTTGTTCATACATGTACTTGGACAAAACGAGCATTTTGAATTATTTAAAAATGACATTTGAGTCCTTTGAAATTTGCCTTAATTGTAATAACTCTCGATGAATATCATGTTAAATATGATATTTGTCAGAATTATATTTTGTTTAACACAGTTACGTTTTCTAGGAGTATTATGTATGTACTAAATTTTTTTTTTCCAGCGTGTTTATAATGCTGCAAAATTAAATATAAGACGAGATGATAGACACACTGACCATGGTGTTTGCAGAAGCGGTTGGTCCATCTCAGCCGTGGTGGAGTATTCGTCGCAGAAGCTGTGGATAAAATATGGCCGTTTGCTGTTGTCAGTAAGTATAGGACTGAATTTTGTTCTATGTTTTAGTGTTCTACTGGAAACACTTAGTGCGACTGGAGCCCACATGTGTACTCTTTCAACTTATAACACGCATACGGTGCAATACATTGCCGTTTATGCAAACACTTCTGTACAGTTTGACGTGGGGACGCCACTTTTGCCTAATTTTGGTTATAACATGTACAAATGTGTGCAAAACGACCCCATAATACAACGGCATCACATCGTATGAATGATACTTTCACAAAATAACCATATATTTTGGAAATTTACGGAAACTATTTTTGCCTGTTTATAAAAGAAATGGCAAAAATGATTTCAACGCAGACGGCGGTGGATTCGAATAAAACACACTGTGGTGGGCCCGATACCATTTATTCATATTTTGAGGGTTTAACTTGATGTATCGCACTTTTCAATTGAGTACAACCCTTTTCTTACTTTGACATCTGAGAAACATGTTTATTTGATGTTATAAACAATATCAATTAGAAACAGGATTCGAATAAAACACACTGTGGTGGGCCCGATACCATTTATTCATATTTTGAGGGTTTAACTTGATGTATCGCACTTTTCAATTGAGTACAACCCTTTTCTTACTTTGACATCTGAGAAACATGTTTATTTGATGTTATAAACAATATCAATTATTATGCTCCCCGAAAAATTTCGGGGGAGCATATAGTCGGCGCCTTGTCCGTCTGTCCGTCCGTCTGTCCGCACTCACAGGAGAGTAATTATGTGGCTAGAGGGACAATAGGTAACTGTTCTTTCTCTTTGATGTCATTCATTCCGTAATGCTTTTATGTGGCTATTTTCTTTTGTGTGGCTAAAAAGAACAATAGAGAGAACAATAGAGTAGCCACATTATTACTCTCCTGTTAGAATGGACATCCGTTCGTCTGTCCGTCCGTTGTCTTGTCCGGAGCATAACTTGAAAACCTTTGGAGATAATTTGTTGAAACTTCATACAGTGGTAGAGGGCATTGAGGGGGAGTGCAGTGTCAAAGAATCATAACTCTATATTGCCCGGTTTTTGAATTATCTCCCCTTATAGAAAAATCTTGTCCGGGGCATAACTCTAAAACTATAAGAGATATCAACATGAAACTTTGTAGGTGAATAGATCTCAATGGGTAGATGTGCATAGCATAAGAACAATAACTCTTTTTGTCCTAATTTTGGAGTTATTGCCCTTTGTTAATTTTAACTCTTTGAACTTTGTCCGGAACATAACTCTAAAACTATAAGAGATATCAAGATGAAACATTGTAGGTAGATAGATCTTATTGAGTAGAGGTGCAGTGCAAAAGAACCATAACTCTGATAAGCCTCATTTTTGAATTATCTCCCCTTTTAGAAAAATCTTGTCCAGGACATAGCTGTAAAACTATAAGAGATATCAACATGAAACTTTGTAGGTAGATATATCTCAATGGGTAGATGTGCAGTGCACAAGAATTATAACTCTGCCTTGTCTAATTCTAGAATTATTGCCCTTTGTTTATTTTTACTTTTTGAAGTTGTCCGGGACATAACTTGGAAATCATATGAGATATCATCAAGAAACTTTGTAGGTTGATAGATCACATTGATTAGAAGTGCAGTGCATAGAACAGTAACTCTGTTATGCCTAATTTTGGAATTATTGCACTTTCCTTGTCCAGAGCATAACTTGAAGACTAATGGTTGGAATTCAATACAACTTCATACAATGGTCAAGAACATTCAGAGGAAGTGCAGTGCACAAGAATCATAACTCCATCTTCACTATTTACAGAGTTATTGCCCTTTGTTACTTTTCCTTGTCGAGAGCATAACTTGAAAACTATTGGTTGGAATTCAAAACAACTTCATACAATGGTCAAGCACAATAAGGGGAAGTGCAGTGCACAAAACCATAACTTCATCTATACTAATTACAGAGTTATTGCCCTTTGTTACTTTTTCTTGTCCGGAGTATAACTTGAAAACTACTGGTTGGAATTCAAAACAACTTCATACAATGGTCAAGCACAATAAGGGGAAGTGCAGTGCACAAAAACCATAACTCCATCTTCACTAATAACAGAGTTATTGCCCTTTGTTACTTTTCCTTGTCTGGGGCATTTTTTGAAAACTACAAGCTGGAATTCAAAACAACTTCATACAATGGTCAAGCACAATAAGGGGAAGTGCAGTGCACAAAAACCATAACTCTACCTAAAGTTATTACAGTTATTGCCCTTTGTTACTTTTCCATTGCTTTCTTTTGTCCGGACCGTAACTTGAAGACTTATGGTTGGAATTCAATATAACTTCATACAATTGTCAAGCACATTGAGAGGAAGTGTAGTGCATAAGAACCTTAACTCCATCTTCACTAATTACAGAATTATTGCCCTTTGTTACTTTTCCTTGTCCGATGGACCCACAGCTATGCGAAAGCTATGGCCAGTGTGATAGATAACCTAATTCATATCATTTGTGTTTTTTTTTTTTCAGATCTACCTATCATTTTTACCAGTCGGGCATAAGCATGAAGATAAGATACCTCCTTAAACAAAAAACTTCACTGTATGGATTGTGAGACAAGGCCAGATCTTTAAAAGTTATTGAAGGATGCACAAATGATAGATGCAATGGCCAACTAAAAAGAATGGATGAACAAAATTTATCATTTGAGGCTTCTCTACCGGACATTTTGCTTGGGTTAGGGCTTTGGGCCTTATATTTAGCGTATGTAGCGAAGACCTACAAAAATAATAGTAATACAAAAACAAATCTGCAACAGAATCACACAAATGTTGTTAAAACTATTTAATAGAGAAAATAGTTCTTTTTAAGAAAATGTGTACATTTTATACAAAGAAAGAACTAATGGAAGGACTAAAAAATGAACATGCCACATGCATATCTCCCAGGTGTTTTGCTTGGGTTAGGGCTTAAATTAATCTTACATTGCTGTAAAAAAGACCTACCAAACTATTGCAATAACAAATCTGGACTCAGACAAATAGTGTTTAAATGATTGGCTGGAGAAAATGGTGCTTTTTACAAAAAATTATACATTATAAACATGTACAGAGCTCAACAAGTAAACCTGACTTAGCACTACAAATTTGTAAAAAGTTATTTGAATATTGTTTTCACAAAGGCAGACTTGGGAAAAAGTAAGCGACACCTGCCCTGATTTAAAGCGGATTCTCTTTTTGGTAGATTTTAGATTGTTGATATTTCAAGAATAGAAAAACGGAAACAAACAGTGAGTTATTTATTATCTGGAAATGAAGATGCAGTGGTATTTTGGAGAAAAAAAAAATCAAATGAATTATATGTTGTTAATTAAAGAGAGAAAAAACTGCTTGATAAGATCTTGCAAGGTTGTTCAGAATTTGTTATACTTCATGTGCAATAAGTTAAATTTCTGCCAGCAGAACAGAATCATTTATGATTATACATGTATATTTTAACAAGTAAATCAAGAGAAGGAGAGAACACATGTCAAACATCTGGATGGTTTGTAACTGGTACGTTTATTCAAGGATTTACCGGTTTCGGTCTTTCAAGACCTTCATGAGGATAATTTCAATAATAAATGATTATACTGAAGTACTAAAAAAGAGGAAACAGAATGTGCCATATGTTACTATAACTAGACATATAAAAGAGTTTTCTTGGCAAAATGCCAAGTTATTGTCCATATAAAATGTTTCAAATGTTGGTTAACCACAGATCATATCTATCATCAATGACCAATTTTACGGCATGGTTAAAGTGTTCATATTCACCTAAAATGATTGTGTCGCAAAAATGTAGTTGAGACTAAGCTTCGCAGTCTTAAAAAGGGACTCCACTGAGGTTTAAAAGCCTAAAAACATAACATTTGAATTTCTTACATAATTGAGCTGGGACACTTTAAACAGAAATATATGCAAAGATAGTTAAGAAATATACTTTGAAATAAATAGAAAATCGTATTATTAGGCTTTCCTTAGCCCGAATTGAGTGAAAAGGGTTTAAAACGCTTTTCATTTTTGGTCATTTTTTACAATTTGAATACATTTGTTTTGTTATTATTCTGGAAAAACTAAGTGCGCGAATGATCGGAAATTTTGCACAAAGATTAGTGGTCTAAACCTACATCAAATGGTACATTTTACTGGAAAAATTATTTCCAGTCCAATCATGTCAAAAAACCTCAGTGGAGTGACCCTTTAAGTTGATTGTAGTTACTTAAGAGAAAATAAGTTGGATTCTGTATTAATTTAACAAACTAAATTTCTTTTTTTTGTGAGTAAATATATAAGTGTTAGTTGTTAGTTGAGACTTCCTTCTGAAGTTGTTTCCTTTATGTAATATTGTAACAAATTTTATCTTAAAATCTAGTATGGTATTTTAGCTGCTGGTTCTTGCAGAAAAGAATCACTTATGGTTATATCCTATGTATAAATTGATGTTATCAAACTTATGTTCCGCCGGCAGAACAATTTCAAATCAATTTTATTAAATGATATTCTTTCTGAATTATATTTTTGATTAAACCTAAAAAGGTTAAGAATTTTCTTGTAATAATAAATGTTCCGCTGGCAGAACAGAATCACTTATGGTTATATCCTATGTTAAAATTGTTGTTATCAAACTTATGTTCCGCCGGCAGAACAATTTCAAATCAATTTTATTAAATGATATTCTTTCTGAGTTATATTTTTGATTAAACCTAAAAAGGTTGTTAAGATTATTTTAAATTTGTAATAAATAAATGTTCCGCCGGCAGAACAGAATCACTAATGGTTATATCCTATGTTTAAATTGATGTTATCAAACATATGTTCCGCCGGCAGAACAATTTCAAATCAATTTTATTAAATGATATTCTTTCTGAGTTATATTTTTGATTAAACCTTAAAAGGTTGTTAAGATTATTTTTGTAATAAATATTAGTTCTGCCGGCAGAACAGAATCACTTATGGTTATATCCTATGTTAAAATTGATGTTATCATACTAATGTTCCGCCGGCAGAACAATTTCAAATCAATTTTATTAAATGATATTCTTTCTGAGTTATATTTTTGATTAAACCTAAAAGGTTGTTAAGATTTTTCTTGTAATAAATAAATGTTCCGCCGGCAGAACAGAATCACTTATGGTTATATCCTATGTTAAAATTGATGTTATCATACTAATGTTCCGCCGGCAGAACAATTTCAAATCAATTTTATTAAATGATATTCTTTCTGAGTTATATTTTTGATTAAACCTAAAAGGTTGTTAAGATTTTTCTTGTAATAAATAAATGTTCCGCCGGCAGAACAGAATCACTTATGGTTATATCCTATGTTAAAATTGATGTTATCATACTAATGTTCCGCCGGCAGAACAATTTCAAATCAATTTTATTAAATGATATTCTTTCTGAGTTATATTTTTGATTAAACCTAAAAGGTTGTTAAGATTTTTCTTGTAATAAATAAATGTTCCGCCGGCAGAACAGAATCACTTATGGTTATATCCTATGTTACAATTGATGTTATCATACTAATGTTCCGCCGGCAGAACAAACAATTTCAAATCAATTTTATTAAATGATATTATTTCTGAGTTATATTTTTGATTAAACCTAAAAGGTTGTTAAGATTTTTCTTGTAATAAATAAATGTTCCGCCGGCAGAACAGAATCACTTATGGTTATATCCTATGTTTAAATTGATGTTATCATACTTTTGTTCCGCCGGCAGAACAATTTCAAATCAATTTTATTAAATGATATCCTTTCTGAATTATATTTTTGATTAAACCTAAAAAGGTTGTTAAGATTTTTTCTTGTAATAAATAAATGTTCATCCGGCAGAACAGAATACTTTATGGTTATATCCTATGTTAAAATTGATGTTATCATACTTATGTTCCGCCGGCAGAACAATTTCAAATCAATTTTATTAAATGATATTCTTTCTGAGTTATATTTTTGATTAAACCTTTAAAGGTTGTTAAGAATTTTGATATGTTGTTATAAGTAAATGTTCCGGCGGCGGAACAGGATTTTTTATGGTTCTATCTTATTTTTGCATTCATATGGACTGGAATCATATTTCTGTTCTGCTGGCGGAACAATTCCAATGAGTTCTTTTATTTGATTTTTACTTTAAGAAATGCATTTGTTACAAAATCTTGCAAAGGTTGTTTAGAATTGTGGTATGTTGTAATTAATAAATGTTCCGCCGGCAGAACAGAATCACTTATGTGTATAACCTCCTACGTTTTAATACATGTTTTCATACTTATGTTCCGCTGGCGGAACAATTTAAGACTGAACTATTGTGTAAAATAGCTTAATTTATTTTTTATTTAATGTTCCGCCGGCAGAACATTTTAGCATTTTTGGATTCTTGCTATCACACAGAAAGAACTGTTAAATGTTCTGCTGGCGGAACAAATCATGATTTATTTGTGATAATATGCTGTATTTTTATAACAAAATGAAATAATTTTTGTGTTAAATATATTTTCAGATGTACTTTTTGTTGTTTTTCCCTTAAAATACATCTTAAAATATCCACTAAAATAGCTGAAAATGGCATTTTTAATTGGGAATCTGTGGATAATCCCTTTTTAAAATGGATGGAGTTATATTTAATGTAATCATTAAATTATATGCATTCATTTCTTATTCGAAAATTTGACTTAGAATTTATAGAAAACAAATTTCTTATTACCTCCTTTTATTTACATGAAATATTAAATTCGGTAATATCTTTATAAATAATGCTTTTGGGAACTTACCATATTGATAATCTTAATTTGAGCATCATACTTGTTGTATTAAACCATAATCAAAATTTGGTACAGGATCGTTAGGTTTATTTGTTTCGGTTACAATGTACAGAACAATATTAGCACAGAGCGAAATGTTTTCTATACATTTGCGAGTTTGTGTTACACATTTGAGTATCATACTAAGAATAGCTAAGGCTAAGAATAAAATAAGAATAGTCAGGAAATGGATTTTGTTTAAGGAAAATTCCGCATTTAAAAAAAAAAGAACAAATATGTTAAAACGTCTCCTACCTATCAAATATGTATGACTCAAATTTATCTTTTTTTGTGTAAGAAAATCACAAAAATTGTGATCGTGTTCTTTATGACTTGCAGCTATATAGCTTTTATGTGTCTTATTTCTTTGTCATATCTGCAAATATTTGCAGTCTATAGCTCACTAGAGATTTAATTTAATGTTATTGCTAGTACAAAATATGATGTAATATCCAATTAGGACTGGTAAATTACTCCTACGCTGCTACCAATTCGTGTGCAACAACAGATTTATACGGGAATATATGAACTTAAAGTAATATTACATTCAAATGAAATTGAAAGAAGAAATATAACATTTTCCGATCAAAGAATAATTAGATAAGAACAAGTTATCAAATGGTAAATACATGTTGTATGAGCAAGATATGATACAATATGGTAAGATACCAAAACTAAAGATATTTAAAAATACATTAAGCCTTGTGAGGATTGAATGCATAACATTATGCTCCCCATAAGGAAGACAGAACATACAATGTTCGAATTGTTAAACAAATCTGTCTTTAATCTTCTTAACATAATTAAAACTAATGTAAAAAGGCAATATTTTAATATTTTCCTCGGAATAGTTTCTTGTAAAATATTTTAAAATATACCTTTAATAAAACATTTTATCATAAATGCGGCTTAGATTTTGAAAAAAAAATGTATCGTTTATCATATACTTTACAGTAGAGAATAATCCTTTTTGAATATGTATGTGAAGTATGTGAAGTTTGTGAAGATGTATGATTTATACTTTCAATTCAAATCAATTTTGTTCTTACTTTTAACTGAACATAATTTTCGTTTAGTTTCTTAAATGAACAGGAATTATTCAAAAGATGGTACGAAAACTGTTAATGGCAGTTTAAATAGAAACACTGAAACATAATTAGCTATGTCACGAACACATTATGTTAGAATGCTTGTATATCATTTTGTTTCTGAGATTATTTGTTTTGCTCGACAATATAATGTATACTTGTGCTTTACGCGCAAACGTACACGCTTTTAATTATTAATGCATAGTAATGAAATATGGAAAGTTTGTTACATTATAATTATATCAAAGATGTACTTATTTGTATGTAAGGTCATTGAACCTTACCGTGAGCCAATTGTCACATGAAATGATTTATAACTTGATCCTTGTGAGCACATGTCGCACAATTAATAGTTAAAGAGAATAAAACTCATTCATGTTTGGTTCCCGTTTAAATGATCGCATGTTGCGTAGGTATGTTTAGAAAACGGTCCCAAGTAGTTAAGTTGAGATAGCACGAAAATCCCGTGCAGCGTTCTCAGTTAGCTAGTTTTAATCGACGGCTCAACACGCTTGGACAGAGGAAAATTTTGCAATAGCAATATTTCGAAACTATTAAATATGCCTCGAGGTAGAGGCATGCGAAGAGGTGCGGGACGAAGAAGAGTGGCGACTTAGGGTAGAGCGGTCAATGACGAACGCCAACGAAATGATCCGCCAGCTAAAACAGGCGAAAGTGCAGCGCAGAGGAAGCTTGTGTTGGAGACACGGAGCTCGTCATCGAGACGAGAGACAGAGGATATTGGTGGGGAATATAGCAGGTTCCTGCAGGATAACGCTGGTGAGTCAAATTTAATTGACTTTGAAAAAAATATTTAAGATTCGGGTATCATACCTTCAAATGAAAGTTAACAGTTTATTTTCAATTTGGATGTGGCTGCTCTAAGGGTCATAACTTGTTTTCACGACCGCCGGAGTCGAAACAAACATCCTTGCATTCATTAATACCAAATGCAAATGCGCCAAACTCTAGCAAGTGACGTTCTAGCCGCTCATGTCCCGTCATCGCTTAAACAAAAAATTGGTAAAGGCGATACGTAATATTGTCTCTGCTGCTAAAAGGCGCCGTTGAACTTTCCGATTTTTGCAACAAAAATATTCTCAAATTAAACGCCAAAATAGACCAATGCATTTATCATTAATATATCAATTTATCTGCACAATCATCCTGACAAAGTACATAAAATGCTTCATTATCTCTTTAATATTTGGGAATGTGCTTTACGGCAAGGTGGTACTGCCTGGAAAACATACGATGAACAATTTCGGCTCCGCCAGGCGTTATCACCAAAAAGCTGGTCACAAATTTAAAACAATCTTTGGTGGCGTTGCATGCAAGTGAGAGATACACAAACTCCTATGTCTAGT